CACCCTCCGGTGAATTTAGCCATTACTTAATGGTTGATAACGCCTTCACAAAAAAAAAAAAAAGAAAAAAATTTATAAACACGCTGGGCTACACCTTCTCATAAGCAATACGAAGCCTACATACTAAAGAAAGACGCCTCGAACCTGGATGAACATATTTGTCACTACTAAACTACAACTATATGTGAACTTTATTCTTTGATTTGATATTGAGAAATCTGCTAGCTCACCCAATCCTGTAATCTTCACGTAGAAAAATTTTATTAAAATACATTATAGGGAGAAATATCTACATACAGGCTACAAATCTGAGCCTGCAGTGGTTTACACACAGTGAAGTAATCCAGAAAGAGTGCTCATAGCCTTTAAGAAGATGAAATAGCACACACCCCTATAGCTTTCTCAATTATTGTATGCAATACTACTCAACAATAGATTGAGTATAACAGTTTAACCACAAGTAAAAGCACAGAATACACAACTTAAGTTAGAAAAATAAGACTATATATTTACTAATTATGCTATTTTATTTTTAAAAATGATTACAGTGAAATCACTACTTTTAAGTAATTCATATGATAAATTAATATTTAGAAAGAGTTAACCTGCTAAATATTTTGAGGTTGAAGTCCACCATTTATATGATTAGTTACATTTTTACACTCTGGAAATTTCCTCAACTACATTCTTAATCAGAGGCAGTTCAGATGCTTCAAATTCCCTCTAGTGGAAGGAAAAAATGTATCTGTTCTTGTTTTCTAATAGTCTTTCACTGAGCATTAAGCTTTAAGACCCCTTTTGGGCAGAAGGCTATGAAGGAGTTCTCAAGGTTTCGCAGACTAAAACAAAAATTCTGTTCATTGGTCACATGAAGGGATATTTAGAGGGATCCTTTTTCCTACAGTGGTAGTTTAAAGGTCTTCCAACTCCTGCTGTTTATTCCTACTCTGAAGTCCCATCATTGTTCTAGCACAGCTGGTTGTCCCATTTCACTGAAAGGCTATGCCAAAGCCTGCTCCAGCTGAATACATTGGATTATTTTTAATCCAGATTTCCACAAGCCAGTTCCCCACCCAAACAGCTGTGCATGAGAGTACCTGAGCCAAGCCAGCACGGCTAAAGAGGCTCCTCTGCTTTCCCCCTCAGATTACTAGCCATACACTTCTGCCACTCACCTTGCTCCTGTTCTGGAGCAAACCACTCAATTACATAAGCCAATTGGGATCATCAAAAGGGCTGAAAACTAAACTGGAAAAATATTTTGCCACATTGGCAAGGTGAACCAACTTGCCTTATGATCAGATACACATGGAAAAAAAGAATACAAGAAAAGGAAAGACTGAAGGGAGAAATGGGAAGCACAAAAGGATTGGGAGGGGAAGTGTGGGAAATAAACCTCATCTTTCAATGGTGAGAAATTGTTCATTTGATCATGCTATAATGTAAAGCCTTACTTTTTATCAGCATGAAAAAAGGACAGGGGAAGGATAGAAACAAACAGATAAAGACTGTTTAAACAGTCAGATTTACAATCACGGCCTAAAAAAAAAGTAATTTGTTTTTCAAATTCATAAAATAGTACTACAGCAGAACTCTCTAGTATTATGTACGCAATGAAAATGAGATCACTAAAATCCGAACCTTTACAAGGACAGGAGATATGGAAGCAATTTTTTGGGGTATGCTTCTAATATTTGCAATTTTCCTCCTAGGAGACACAAATTCATCCATTCCTTTCAGTCACTCTGTATGTGTGCAGCTAATCCAAAGATATGCAGAAAGCATCAGAATTAATTCACTAAGCTGAAACAAAAAACACACTGACCAGACCCAGCACTACAGCTGCACTGAAAACAGAGGCTGATGTGACAACCTCTAGCAGTGCATCACAAAGGTAATATTCCCCCTTACTCCAAACATCAAGAATGAAAATATCAAATGTTTCCTGAAAGCACAGTGCTTCCTGCATAGACATTTTGGGCATAATATGAATGTGCCATGGATTTCTGCAATTCCAATATAAAGCCCTTGACAAAAGGGCTGAAGCCACTGCACAGCACAACGTTAACATACCGCACACGAGCAGTAACGTTACACCACCTACAAAGAATAAAGCCACTGCATAACTTGAAATCCAAGGTACATGCAAAACCTTGAAAATCTGCCAGAACAAGTTCTCCAGAGAGCAAAATGGCAGGTCTAAAGATATACTTAAGCCAGTAGATAGACATGTAGCAGCCATTTACTGTTTGTATCTGTAGAATCACAGTATTCCACAGTAACTCTAAGGCATCCTACAGGCTCCCACTACGCATAATTCTGCAACAACAATGCCAAGTTTTAAATCCACTCCAGCTTACATAAAAGCAGCTCTACAGACCTAATATTTATACAAACACACAGTGCAATCCGCGCTCTAAAGCAACCACCTCCGAAGCAAAAGTAACTGCAGGTCTTATTTTAAGAATTACTAATTTGGTCAACGCACCTTCTCCAAACAAACTTCAAATCCTAACGCTTCAGAACAACCCAGTTTTCCTGCCTGAGGGGGTTGCTTTATAATACCGCCAGATTACCTCAGCACTGTTGCTGAGCCCCTGAAATACACCCTTTGTTTTCCCTTCCTTTCATTAGGACGTTCCCTGTGAAAACATTTGCAGCAATAGTCAGTCTCACTACTACTCTTCATTTTGTTAGGTCTACCAAAGGCATAGAGGAAGTGATAAAAAGCAAATGAAGAAAGAAGATTGTCACAGAGCTAAATTATAAAATGGAGCTTCACAGCACTACTAATTATTTAAGTATTTTTACACAACAATTAAGGCATTTCAGTTCATTTCAGCTCTCAGAAATAACATTAAAATACATTTATAAAGGGTCTACTTGGAAAGAAATACTAGAGACAATAACACTCATCAAGAGATTCACGAATCACGATTCAAGACAGGAACAGACAAATTATACATATTGCAGCTGGGTGCGTTAGGTGAAGTTCTTCCTGATTATGTGCCTGATTTCAATAAAATGCTCATAGCATACACATCCTCATTGGAACTACTCAGAGTTTGGAAATTTGGTACATATTTGATTATCTTTTTGAATGGAAAGCCATGTGGCATAATGCAGGATAAACGTCACTCAGAAATCCTTTCCCATGACTGCGTGTTAACTTAACCAGGATTTTTTGGAAAACCTAAACCTAAATCCACATGCAACACAGTCTGCGTGATGCCATTCATCGTTATGAAGTTTAAGGCACAAAATTGGTTTCTTACCTGGAATGGTTGATACTTTGTTACATTAATTTTATCTAATGATTTTGTCAAGTCAGGATGATGGATAACATCATCAGATTCTTCTGTCTCTTCCGTTTCAGAAGTAGAAGCACTTTCTACTGTTACTTTCACAGGAATACCTGTCTAACGGCATTAGAAAAAAACACACCTCGAGCGTTAAACTGTGCAATAAAACCAAAGATTAAGTACTACCAAAATCTTCATTTAGATGCTATCTTTCCCCAGATTTTTAATTTGTCCTTAGGCTGTATACACAGCACATAGATACATTTACACATTGTATTATGCATACTTATTTCTAAATTGCATAGCTCTGTGTGTACCACTGGTAGCATCTTTGCAAGTTCTGCTCTCTTGCCCAGGATGTGATTCCAAGGCAGCTGGACTGATTTAATAGCTCACTGTTACCAAAAAGGGAAAGGTTAACTCCTTATTCTCAAATCCTTCTTTCATCCCACCATAGCCTCCTCGGTTCCTCCTACGTTGTGCTGGCACCAGGAACCATTAGATTCTTTTGCGAGCCAGTTTAATTCACCAGCACACACTAACACACTTCTCCAGTTTCTTTGGGTTTCTTTCAGTGGGGTGGGATGCGAGGAGATGGGATGGGAAGGGGGAAAAAAAAAAAAAAAAAGGTCTTGTTCATGCAGCTGGGTTCACTAAGGCTATTCACATATATTCACATAGGGGTTGAAACACAAATATATAATTCAGAAGCACAAGGGGAGAGATAGGAAGGGGAAGAACAGGACCCCAGGACCCTTCATAGAAGAAAACTATTAATACTGTATACTGTTTCTGGAGGGACCATGCTCAAACTCAATCCCAGATTCCTCATAAGGCTAGGAAACCAAGAGACAGTGACACAGGACAGGGAATCAGAAGTTCCAGACAAATGCTGAAATGAACTATTACTTCATACTTCCGTACGAGATACATACTTTAAATATATGCTCCAGTATTAACTTCTCAATCATATAAACCTGAACTTTTAGATAGGAAAATTTTGTTCATTAAGCTTGCATCCTTTTTAGGCATCCATCTACTAGATAAGCCACCATTTTCTTGTAACAGTATGAGAGACAGTACCTGAATCTTCACTGGTAACTCCCGAGTACTACCCATCGGAGCCCCCCTAAAAAATGAATAAGTAAAGATAGACTACGTCACCATCGCTACTCAAATTTCTAAACAGGAGACTCTAGATTAAGTAGAACAATAAGTTAAAATAGTATCAGATACTTCACTGTATCCCTTAAACACTCATTGCATCTTCACTCTGCTCTGCTAGTGCTACTACTTAATCAAGAATTAACCACAACATTCCTGGATGCTAATGTTAAGCACTTCAGTAAGCATTTTCCTTAGTTATTATAAACTAAAGTCAACAGGAGAATTTGGTATTCAGTATTTCTGAAAAAGAAGTTTAATGAAAAGATATAGATAAAGCATTATATATATTTTTGTTTAAAATATTTAATTTCTAGCCCCAAATTATAGAGGCTAATGTCTAGCGAAGAACAGAGATTTTACAAACTGATTCAAAGGAAAGCAAGATTATAAAAGTTAATCTTGTAACCCTTGGAAGCCATAATGCTGTTTTATTTCACAGGGCTTAGATGATCACAGAAACTTACGCTGGAAGCGGGGGGGCATGGGACAGAGAAGATGGGAAGAATACTCAGACATCTCAAACTGGATGCCAGATAAACTATATTACAGCCTTAGAAAGCTAGACTACATCTTCAACTGTGACGCATCATCAGTAACAGAAGATCGAACAAGTAAGGTGTTCCTTCAGAAACACGTGAGCATCCTTATGGCCATGTAACTATATCTTGGTGCATATTTTAAAGACTTGCTGTAATTAATTCATGTACCATCCCCACAAAAGATAATCATACAAACAGAAACAATTATGGATATAATATAGAATTCTGCATGCAACTTTTAAAATACATTTTTTTAAAAAAATAACACCGCACTCTGTCATGCAATTCTCACGTTTTAGTATTTTCCCTTGTACTATGAAAAGTTCACCTGCATCTCTTTGCACGTTCTGCAGTGCGCCAAGGAAGGAAGCCTTTTGTGCCTGGTGGTAGTGGTTTTGGTGAATAATTATCTTTCACAGATGGATTTTTTTTCCCAGGACTCACAGACTTTTTAGATGTCAATCCTGTATTGGACAGCAGCAATGGTTATTTACATATACAGTCCGAGTTGACAGTTCCTAAATAAGAGCTCCAATGTAACAAAAGGAACTCTAGGAAATCCACCTTTCAATCTAATTTTGCTAGACTGCTCATGAGCTAATTTTTGTTTTGCTTCTCAAAGGGATGGCAAGTTCATCCGTTTGCAATTACAAGCTTACATGTTTGACTTCTGTCAGGTTGGTCTAAATAAAAGCGTTATTTAACAAGGAAGCAAAGTTTTGCTGCTAAAGAGATTTATTCGTGCTACTCATTTCAGATACCTAAATCAAGTGTCTACAGCGGGAGCTTAGGCAGCCTCATTTTCTACATGGGATGCCTGTGTGCTTCAAATGGCCCTCTAGTGGCCTTAGTGTGAAGAACGCTGGTTCTGTAATTGACAAGAGGCTTGAAAGCTAAAGCTGATATTCACAATGATCGCTTCTACAGAACACTAGAAACGCCCTCACGTAAGAGTAAGAGGAACAAAAAAGAAAAGTTATATACATTAGTCCAGTCTTTTGTGGCTGGTTTTAAGCCATACGCTAACACACAAAGGAGATTCAGGATGAAGGTCCAAGGCAGATGCTCACTCTACCTCGTCAAAAACTACCAAGCCCAGAAATCTCTTCACCTGATATTTCAAATAGTTAAATGAGCGAGAACTCAGGTTACTGTTTTTGAGAATAAAATGAATTCTGTATTGTGCTGAAAGGCATAACTGCGGTAACAGGATTCCATATTTTAGTTTGATCTCAACCACTAAACAGGATAAAAAGGAAGAGTTCCAGCTCCTCTCCCTCTTTTTTTTAAACCTCTAAGTTAGACATTTTCTTCTTCTTCTATTACCCACAATGCATTTGTGCAACAGATTTCAATTTGATTCATGTTTACCTCTCTGCTTCCAGATAACTAAAGCAAGGATGAAAGACAGCCAATGTATTACAGTGAGATTTTAATAACTTCTTGAGAATTAGGTAGCGTGTTACAGTTATCAGTATTTAGTTACAAAAATTCAACAAACCCATGTTATTTTAAATATACTATTTATAATAAGTTTACATGAAGTAAAGAAATCTTAGAACATTTTGTACATCAGTAAAAATTCACGCTTGCTTGTTCCGGCAGAGGACAGTCTGCTACAGAAAGGCTGCAACATCAAAAAAAACAGACCACTCCCTACCACCAAGCTTCCTAGAAGTGAACAGTTATGGGGAGGATGCCCTTGGAAAAAGTATATGCAATGCTTCAATGCACTTTATTCAACAAATCCTACTTTTCCCAGCTACACATCTAACAACTGAAAACGAGATCAAGTTTGCCATTGAAATCACTGATGCTAGAAGAAGCATTAGCGAATTAAGAACCAATGGAATTTTCTTGGAAGTAGAAAAGCATTCTGCAAAACACTGACATTTAAACACATCATATTTTTTTAATGAAAGTTTAACACTGAAGCATTGTTTTGTAAATAAAATTTGCTGTAATCAGAGAAAATAAAGACAGCATTACCAATACGAATAGTAGCTTTTCCTTTTCGACCACTTCCTAGGACAATAGTTCTTTTCTTTGGTCTAGTTTTCAAAGCATCCTTTGAAGACGGAGAAGTCAGCCACTTATACTGGAAATTTTTTTTTTTTTAAAAGTATTTATTTTTAGAAAAGAAAGATAGGTTATTTTAGTAACTGATATTTCAGGAGGTGCTCATTTAAGACTAGTTTTCTTTGTCAAATATATAGAGACCACTGCTAGTTAAGGACAACTTAAAACTGTAAAATTAAGAAAAAGAAATCCCACAAAGCTGCAATTCAAACAAATTCAATACATGTTTGAAAGCCACATTATCAGCAAGTGTTCCCAGAACACCACTATAACATCCCATCCAATTTTTTCCCCCTTCTCCTGTGCAAAACACTTCCTTTTATAGTAACAAAAAATGGCATCAACCCTATAAAAAGGAAACTCTGGCTCTCGCTTTTCATTCTCTACAGAAAGCTGGCTTGCTAGGAATGACCAGCTCAAGCCAAAGTTCTCTAGAGTAATAAAAGCTTCCTTAATATTTTTTTGTATTACCAGTAAAATAAATAGTAAAAACATGAAGCCTAATTTTCACTGCCTCTAATGAAAATTCGTCCTTACACAGTAAAAGCGTCCAAGCTAAAATTAAGACGCGGTGATAATCAAATGCAATTGCTGTGCTTCAGACTTGTTTTTCTTATGGTAACTGTTCTATTCTTAAAGGTTTCCCTTCTCTCAATAAAAATTTTATTTTTCTTCCAGACTCTTAAGTTATGCTGTCATTTGGATTTTTGTGTGTATCAAATGAGACCTAGTAGGAAGTCTACTATGAAAGTAACCCAAGAAACAGGGTTAGAGACCGAAATTCACTCGAGATTAACGCGAAGCTCATCTCAGACAGCTCTAAACCCCACATCACAGTACTAGCAGCAGTATGATTAAGTCATTCCCCTCAGGCTCCTTCTAATGCATTAGGAAGATTAAGCAGGATGAAGTTACTGTGCTCTAACTAACCAACTTTTGTTCAAATATATAAAAACACTTTTCTTGTCAATGACAAATTTGGACTCCAATTACTCCTGTATGAGTTTTGCTGGGTCTACAACCTGAGCTAGCTCCTGAGACAAGTTAACTGTCATTTTCAACTACAGAAATCTTGAGACGGAAAGAGTAAAATTAAACTGTGAACTTTTCAAGGCCAGAACATCTTAATATTGTTTCATTGCACACATAAAAGAGCGGCTATACTTGGTTAAACCGAAAGTTCATCTAGCCCAGTAACATGTCTCTTGTTTAGGTATCAGCAGCTGTTAAACAATTTTGACTATAAGGATAGCAAGCATATTGTCATTTCTCAACGCCCTCCTAGGTCCCTAAGCTGGGACAATGGGGGCGTCTTGCATTGTAGACATCTTCAGTGGATTTTTCCCTTAAGCTATTCAGTCTCTCCAGGAAACTATGTAAACTTTTATCATTCACTACACCTAATCATACGTACAAGTATAGTCCACTATGCTAGAGCTACACTGTGCTGCTAGTGGAGCATAGAAGTCCTTTGTTTTAGCTGCCTTTCAAATTTATTGTAAGGTTTCCTATATTTAATGGCATCCATTAGTAGCGGACAGTCTTTCTTGCAGACTTGAAAGCCCAACCCAAAAGGCAAGCAGCTGTATGCAATTAAGAAGGAATGAAAAACCACCACTTCATAGGCAGAACTGGACGGAAGGGCTGTTGTGAACGGTAGCGAGCAAGCAGGTGATGGCCGTTACAAATAGCTTCTAACATACAATTACTTCTATATGTGCAATGACTTACTATGGGGCCATTCACAAGCCTACTTCTTTCTAAAGCAACACACAAGCACCTTAATGTATCTCCTACCTAAATATAACCGTGGAATTTACACAACAGGTACATAGAGTCTTTCAGATGGTACAGAATGCAGCTCTGTCACCTCTCATACATAAATTGTACATTCTACCCTGTGCATGAATTCTACTCATGAGAATTAGCAAAGTTAGCCTCCGGATGGTTAAAAAAAAGCTGAAACTAGAGGTAGCTGAAAGCAGAGGCAGTATTAATTAATTGACTATAATGCTAAAACTCTTTACAGAATAGCAAGAACTAAAGCTTTAGCTTCATTCAGAATTTAAGTACTATAGCACGCAACAGCTGAACAAGTCATTAGGACTCACACAAATATATTCTTTTTTTTTTTTTTTTTTTGAACTCTTACATTCTGTTTTCGTAAGGCTGACTTTTCACTTTTCACAAAATGAAGGAGTCCTTGCAGCTCTTTCTGCAACAAAGCTTTATGACTAATTGTGCATCTTTGATACTTCTGACGTTTTACTCCCTGAAAGTCAGCAATAAAGTGCTTTTTGTCAGTACGGAGCACCTTCAGACACCCCCTCAAAGCAATTCAACTGTTTTCCTCTTCATAATATCCACAACTCTATAACTAAGCTCAAAACCAACTACAAATCCTAATATTAAAGTAAAAGTATCGTTTCAGTTTCAACAGAATGTTAACATCCAACACTAAACGTCTGTGTCCATCTGGCTACACAGGCGGATTACTCCATTCTGAGTGCCTGCACTGTTCCCATGATAAGCAGTAAATGTGCTATTTACAACAGCCTACTCATATGGCTTATAAAACCATGGATCAAGGTTACTGTGTTCTGAGCTGTGGAAGAGAGGTAAAAGTTACTCAGCAAGCTGGTGGTCAGTCATTTTTTATTTACACTGTTAACCAGGTATGCAAGATTACTAGTATTACCAGTACAACTTAGATACTCTACTACCTTGAGCCTAAGCTGAGTGAACTTTCAGTATATAGAAATTTCCCAAAGAGTTGCCTCTTTTCAGAGTTCAACTTTCCATCCATCTTGAGCTACATTTTCTCCAGACAGATGCTATTTTCATGGAGTCCTTGCAACATTTTGCAAATGTTGATTTCATCTGCCAAGGAGAAAGAAGACTCTTTCACAACCAACCTCAGTTTCTCCAAAAGAGGTTGAAGAGGGGAACTGTATTAATCCCCAAGGAACTCTACACACAAACTTCTCAGTTTAGAGCTTATTCCCTACAGAGCCACAGCTCTGACTTTCAAGGCTTTTCAAAGCCAAAACAGCAATAAGTTCAGGAACAAGATTACTGCAGCTGTCAAAAAGCAAGAGCAAATGAGTGTGTACTCATTTGCTTGCTAACTCCTTCGGGAACAGATTCAGATTTTTGAGTTACAAACAAAAGATTCATTATTTAAACAACATATCCAGTCGTAAGTGTCCCAGATATTCAGTTTATGTAAGTTACTATAAACTCTCTACAGGATATTAGATAGAGATGGAAATGGGTACTGTACTTACTCAAGTTATTCAAGACTGTTCTTTCTAGTATTAACCATCAAAGAAACTACAGTTCAGATAACTGAAATTAAGTTTCTTTCTGTCATTAATTTATATAGCTAAGAATTAGTTATTTTCAAACTTAGTTTTAACTTGTGAATTCCTCTGCTTTTTAATGAAGTTGGTATTCAGGTGTTAAGAGAGAGACACATATCAGAAAACTTTCCAACAGCAGCATTAACTTATGTTCTAGGATAATGTGTAAGTGTACGCATACATTTCCATTTTTCTTATTAAACGAGTATCCTGTTTCTATTAGGTGAGATCTTAAATTACATAGTAAAGCATACAAAACACCCAATATAGCATAGTTCTTGTTGCTGCTAGTGCTGAAGCTTTTCCTTTTATAGCCTTATTTGTTTTTAAATGCTTTAAAATGCTTATGTTTATAACTGGCATAACTTCTGTACTTATTCTGAACAAAACTGACCTTATAACACACGCAATGCCAACTACAAAAAAAAATTACTACGAAATGCTTAACACATACCTCTGAATTAGCACTATTTCCATTCATAAGAACTCTTTCAATAATGCTTTTCATCAAAACGTGATCTAGAATGAAAGATCTTGTATCAAGAATTTCCTGTAGGAGACTTGTATTTATGCAAACAAATAGATTGTTCAATAAGTAGTACATGTTACCTGTCCTGCTCCCCACACAATTTTTTTAATACTTAGCAAAATGCTATCGCAGGTTTTTTTAACTTGAAATCAGAGCATTTCCCCACCTCAGAAGAGTTACTGAAAAAATTCCACCGAGAAGATGACAAAGGGAGATACAGATACATACCAATTAAGGGATTTTTTCTTACGTCAAGTACCACTAACGTTGTATTGGCTTGAAGAGCATCAAATAGCGACTTTGCTCCTTCGTTGGATATTCCGCACTGCTGCAAGTCAAGTGCTAAAACGTTTAAGGAGGTGTAAAAATAAATGAATAAATGGATAGTGCAGTCAATAGCTACTACAATTAATCCACCTCTACAGAACACCTCCATTTCACAGAATGGATAAGGCAATGTTACAGTCACAGCCACACGCACAAACGACAAAACTACTTTCAGAGGTGGAAATTGGAGATTTAGATCAGTTTTATAAACTAACATTGAGAAATATAACTATTAAACAACTGCAAAGGAAGGAACATCAAACCACAATCGTCTGAACCACCAAATCACTGTTCTTGAAAGTTACTACTACATGTAATACTGCTAGATATCAACTCATACAGCCGCCCAAAGTAGCTTAACACATACAAACACACAACTTAAGTCTGGAAAGCCTGAATCAGTGCTTCTTACCAGATATTGCTAGCGCAGATGAATACATTCTTCGGTTGCCATAAAAGAGTGCTCTCATGGCTTTTAGACTTATTTTGCCATGCTGTGCATGCATAATACGCATGCTGCCTGTACAGCGAGCTCAGATAAGCCACAAAAACGAATCCAATAGGTAACTGTTTGATTCTACGTACGTAATGCTATGACTTCTATCATCAACATTCGAATCACTTAGTACATACATACGATACTACCAACTATTCATCCAGAATACTGAAGAGTTTTTGTACACTTTGAGTATTCAGATAAGAGAGAAAAAGAAATTTCTTTTGAAAAAAAAAAACAACAACAAAAAAACCAACTTATTCTTTGCTAATTAAAACGCTGAATTACTCATTTGGCTACATTTGCTATAACTGCCAAATGCAGGTTTTCCCCTCTACTATATCTTAGAATCAGTGTTTCACAATACCTTTCAGCCACAAGTCCTCTCCTAGGCATTCTGCAAAGGCACTAGCTCCTCTATCCCCAACAAGCATGTTGCAGTTGAAAGTAATGCGCCTCAAGCCTGTCATACAGTCCAGGTCAGGTCTCCTATAACGTAGGCTTTCAGCCCAAGCTTCATTATGTCTTTTCATTGCCTGGTGCTTTGCAAACAAGAAAGTTGTTATCAAAGAAAAGCCATTATTATGGATGAAGTAGTATTATTATATAAGTTGCACAATAATAAGAAGACAATAGGTTATTTTGTTTCTAATTAATGTTTAATAGCTGAGTGTTGATACATAAACAACTCAGTAATACCAATTCTGAGTTCAAGAAACAGCACGGTCACTCTTGAACACTGCAGTGAACTCATGCTTATTCCCATCTTTCAATTCACAATGTAAATTACTAAATATGTCTAGGAAAACTCTAAACATCTTACTACTTTTTGTCAGATAGACATTTTCAACACACCTTTAGCAGGAAACGTACACTACAAAATTATGTGCTTTACCACAGATCAACATTAAGATTAGTTAGAATAACACATTTATATTGGACTAGTAACAAGCTTACTAGTCAGCTAATTACTAGCCTCTAAAGGGCAAACTCAATTTCATTATTTTTATATAATGCTTAGGTATAGTTAAGACATTTTGCAAGATTTGCATGTGACGCTGATGAAGGAAGATTTCTCCAAAACAGAGATGTCAGATGTTTATGGCTCTAATTAGAATTTGAAAGTAAAAGAAAGAGAATTAAACGTTTGATAATATAGGCAATTAATTCTTAAGTTCACCAAGTTAAAGAAAAATGTGACAATAACAAAAAAGTGGGTCTTCACATTCACTGCCATTTAAAAAAAAAAAAAAAAAAAAGAAAGAAAACTTAGTTATCCATGGCAGATGACCACATTTTAAGTTACAAGGAAACACTTAACAAGGTAAGAGAACATATCTCCAGATTACAGTACTCCTTACTTTGAACTCAGCTCTATTAACCCCACCCCAAAAACAAAACAAGCAAAAAAACCACCTATCTACATTCGTTACACAGTCTGTATATTTCTTATCAGTAATTACAAAAAAGAAAATTTCATTTATCAACGCATATCTAATACAGGTTGATACTTGAATCTGCTGCAATATCAAACAATATAGTCTTAATAGTCTTAACTGAATGTTCACTTTGAGCCTTATGAAAAATATTATATTAAAATCAGCTCAGCATTTAACATTCATGTTAAAGAGGATTCTCACAATGAAAATATAATTTTCTGGAATCCAGGAACATTGAGGCATTTCAGAAATTCAGGGGAAGCGGAGAAGCGGCAAGGAGACGGTTACTGTAGCTATGTCAGAGCCTGTCCTTTCCCTTAAGAGATGTCACATCAAAAACAGTATAGGGTAAAGTATTGCTTTTGTTATTACAGAAAAGCTGTATTTGTTTACAAGCCAAACCTAGCAATCATGTTTTTAGTTATTTAACTTCTTGTTAACATTTCTGGTTAAATTACCTTTAAAACATTTGCCATATGTTCTGCCCCTCGCCAGGTAAGGCTACATCCTGTGAAATTTATGCATCTGATACTAGCAGAATTCTTCACACTCTGACAGATTACTAAAGACAACAAAAGTATTTGTTATGTACAGGCACAAAACAGCCAGACCATCAGAACAAACACATTTTCTCACCGCTGTATTAAGAAGCTGAGTTAGCTTTAATAGGTAAACCCTTTGACACAGAACTAGTGTTGAAAAACAAAATAAACTTATACATTTAAAATAAACTTAATACATTTAACCTCTGTAATTTCAAAAGATTAAATATTTCTGGAGTAAGTATTTAGCAAAGACTGTTTGAACAAGGTAGAACATGTTTTGTTTTATTTTACTTGTGTAAACATGAGCAAATCAAGAAAAAACTCATTTCAAACTTAAAAAGATTACTTTGTTTTAAATAAAAGTCTAATCAACGTTAACTAGTAAGTCTGTTTTCTAGCATCAGGTAAACATTCAAGTTTTTAAATACTGTAAAGCCATGTAAAATAAAATAAAGATGGTTATTTTTAATCAGCGTGAATAAATTTAAAACGAGAATGTAAATACTGAAAAGCTTAGTTTTACCTATTGAAAGCTTTAAAAAGGAGGGCAGAAGTATGTTTATGCCTTTACCAGTCACCTCACAAGACCAGTTATTTTTCTTTTATTTTGAAACTAACTTACTTTCTTTTCCTCCATCTCCAATTGGACAGTGGGCTAGGGAGACGCTCTCCAGAGATGAAGTTTTGGCCAACCCCGTGAGGTAGCTGCTTTGTTTAGCACAGGAGGGGCCTGAGCCTGCAAGAAACAAGCAGCCACCTCGCTTCCTAGAAGCCACTAATGAGCACACTGCAGTAGCTCCAACGGAAGCAGCTCTCCAAAGCACGCTGTCTTACTGGAGCTCGGCAGCTTTTCTTCTGTCATGACCGTGCACAGCAGGGTCAGTCACAGGCATAAGTTCTACACCTCAGACATGCAGTAGGGATGCTGAAAGAACCCTCCCATAAGGGTTCTGCTCCTTGACAAATTAGGGCAAGAGAAAGTTACATGATTTTGGTTAAACACTAGGTTATACCAAGTGTCTCAGCAGAATGGTTCTCACACAGAAGAACACAAAGATGTATTTCAAAACAGGCACATCCCCAGCTGTGACAGCTACACATAAAATGATTTGCTACTTCCCTAGGTTCTAATCCTAGGTTTCGTTTAATAATTGTATACCAGCGCATTCTCACCTTTGTTAAAAGTATTAGATCTCTCTCTCTCAGAAGCAACCCCTGCAGTTCCAAGTTTTTTAGTACATCTGATATACTCAGACAGCCTTTGACAGCTTTGCATAGTTGACCAGTCAAGTCTTTTGATCGAATTGCAGGAATTCTCCTTCTGAAGTAAGTTCTATACCTTTCAACACCTAGTAAACAACAGAAATGAAGAGCAGTAACATCCAGTCCATATTGACTTGACAGCTATCAAAAACATACCTCTTTTTTGCCACTGTTCTTAAACAGAAAGAATTCCTTAGCTATTACAACTCTCCCCCTTCATGCATTCAATCACTCACAAGATTTATACAAAGAGCTTTAACGTACATCAACATAATTATCATCTAGAGCCATCAATACAAACCTGATTCTCCGAGACCCTGCTGATGAAAACTTCTTACTGCAATAGAAGTCAGCGTCTTATTATGCCTGACAGCATTTAGAAGCGGTGCCCAGTCAGCAGCTTTGATGCGATCTACAGTTAGATCGAGAGCACCCTGGTTCAGATTGGCTTTCACAGCTTTCAGTGGGACAGAGCCTTGAACAGCACACAGATGCTCATAATGAGAGTAGAAATCCAGCAGGCACTGTCTTCTTACTTTGACCGAGTCAATCATTTCTCACAGGTGATAAAAGCCTCTCTAAAATGAGGGAGGAAAAAATATATCAAATTTTTCCCATATGCAACTGATTTAGTGACATAATCTCAATTCAACACGCATACTCAAAACATGAGAATGCACGAGTATAGCCGTGCAACTCAATGTCTCCAACACGGCAAGTAATGCTGAGGTTGAACGTGGAAGTACAGCTGAATGGGTAAGAAAAAGAAACGCTACATTTTTGTTCTCCTCAACAAAAGTACACCTCCAAGAGTATGGGGGAACATGTCCAATGTTCCAGGACTAACTAGTGTAAAGACTTTCCTCTTAAAATTTAATTTTTTAACGTATAGTGTCTGCAGGCTACTTAAAAGCCCACTCCCTGACCCAGCACCAAGGAATATTAAGGTCTCTTCGAAACACCATTTACATCTTCAGAACTAATTGTCAGCTTTTCCACTGCTGCAATCAAAAGTCTGAATTCTCGTAATATAAAATAAAACAAGTGTTTCCCTTATTGCTTTTGCATACTTTATGCCTGGCCCTAGCATTCAAGTTTAGCACACTTGAGGGTAGAAAAGAAGAGGGGACAAACTCAGAGACACATAATAACTTCCATCTCAGAAATAACTACATAAATTAAGGCTCTTCAGCATGGAAGTTAGTGGGAATGACAAAATCGTACAAAATCTCGACTGGCTTAGAGAACATTCAGGGAAGAACTTTATCTGCTATCTCTTTCAATACAGAGGCAAAGGAGCATCAGATGAAACTAGCAGGTAGCAGACTGAGGAGAAACAGAGCACATGGCAAAACTGGGAAACTCAACTGCATGCTAGTTTTCAGAAAGCTAGGAGTTCATAGGGATTCCCCCTCCCCTCCCCCCAAAAAAACAGGTAGGCAATAGGTTAGGAAAAAAAATCCATACAAGACTACTGACCACAGAGACAACGACTCTACCCTAAAGCCTGAGCTGCAAGACAGGGACATATTCCGTGAAGCACTATTACACGTTTCCCCTCTGCTTACACACTTCCTCAAACACCTCCTGACCTGCAGGGGTGAAACATACTTTTTATTTGACCTGTACAAGCACTACATACAAGCATAAGCAGTATCCACTAAACACATGCAAATAAACAACTCTCTTTATACTTGGAAAAATATAGTATTTTATATCGCCGCACCCACTCAGAGCCAACCCAGCCAACTACTTCAGTGCTCTGCTTCCCTAACAAAGCACACTATCAAACCAGCATGCGCTGGGGACCGCGTTGCTCGCTGCCAAGCACGGAGCTGCAAGAGAAGAGACGGGGTGGGGGGGGGGATTGTCCCTTCCCCTCCTCCCCAGTACACCCCCT